AAAAAACTTTCCTTCGACGGTCCCCAGCGTGTTTCATCAACGCATCTTTACGTGTATCGAAGACGCTTGAGTTGATAAAATCCTCATCGTACTACCCGTTGGTTGGTCTCGCTGTATTGACTGTCTTGCGAGGAAGTTTTTTCTCCAATTCTGCTACCGACCAGCTTGGGGATTTCGTGCAGCTTTTCACTATTCTGACGCCTCTCTCATTCATTCCTGCTCCACTCTTCGGATTTCTGGCCGATCGCCTCTCAATCCATTTTGTATTTACAATTTTGAATACTTTGGTAATTTATCTTTCTCTCTCTCTCCATTCATTTCTCTTCTTCAGGGATTTGTTCAATTCTTGTTACTTGTTGTAGCACCTTCATCGCCTGCAGTTTTGGCCACAGTTTCTATTCTGAATCTATTCATTGCTTCATTCTTTCTCGGACAATTCTATTGTTACGTCACACGTAAGAAACAATTCATTAGACTCGATTATTGTTCTCTCTCCCTCTCCATCAGTTTCATTCCCTTCTCAATTTGCCGGAACACTCATCGGTCTTGTCATCTCTTGCAGTGGACTCTTCGGCCTTCTGGTCACGCCAATGTACACATTCTCCAGTAATATTCATAATTTCAGACACATGAACATGGTTTGCGTTAGTTTCGCGTTGCTGTCCTACTTCTTCATTCTTCTCCTGTGGCAAGCTTCAAAGAAGAGTCCACGCCCACTGGTCATAAAAGCCTTCAATCGTTCGTCTCTTCCTCAAGCCTCTCCGCCAGCAGAACAAGAATCGTTCGAAACTTGTGACAAAACTCCCCCACATTCGGAATTGCAGCATCGTCCCCAATATTCTCTCAGAAACTCAGTTTGATCTGTACACTGAAGTTGTTTGGGTATTTTCTTTATCGTTTTTCTGTGTTATCGCACCACCAATGAACTCCTGTTCTTCGCGTCTTAAGTGCATGCGAACCATCAGGCTATTAGCGTTTCTAGCTTACAGAACGATATGTACGCTATTCTTCTCGTTTCATTTTTTGTGGTTGGGGCTTTTGCCGAGTCAACTTTTCCGTGCTTGACGGCCCTTAAGCATTTGAATATTTTTGTGCTGCAAGACATCACAAACTCAACACTGATCACGTCGGATGAGATTCGAGACCATCTCACCTATTTTGGTGATTTAACCCAAATTAACAAAAATACTCAACTTGGATTGGCGTCTTTCAGCGATCGACCGTATTTGGCTCCTCGCTTACTCACAAATGGGGATCACTGTTTTAAGGTCGGAAACAAACTGAAAGAGAATCCAAAATATTTCCAGCGATCCTCAAGAAAAATCAAGTTTTCGCATACACGATCGGACAAATCAGGCCAGCTGGATGCGATTGTCCAAGCTGCTAAGTCACAATTTCCTCGTGGAGCACCAAAGGAATCTCTAAATGTTATTATTCTCTCAACACCGACTCTCTTCAATCATGGAGAGGTCGAACAAAATGTTACAGAGGCTCATGGTTGTCGGAATGGAAATTATCCAACGGTAAGCGGGAGGTCTTTTCATTTTTGAGGTTCATTTTGTTCTCCTCATCTAGTTGAAGGAAATTCGACAAGCATTGCGCGAAATTGGTGCTCGTTTGCTGATCGTTACACCGATGGAACTTCGTAATGTTTATGAGTCTTTCCAACGCAAATTGAATGTTATTGGTGGATCAGTCATTCCGTACGAACAAGATGAAGACCGGTATTCAGCAATAGAACAGTTCCAGTCGTCCCTTACATATGAACTCGAGGCGATGTGCCATGGTCTGTCATTGCCTGCTGTGGGTAAGATGAGATTCATCCAGTACTAGATGACCGGATGTTGACAGGCCCGCCAGTTTGTCCCTTGAAGGAATGCATGAGGCTTTGCGAAGGTGATGAGGAATGTTCAACTGATTGCGCCGAAAAGCATCCACCTTGTGGCAAACAAGCTTCACGCGACCAGCAAATGCAGAAGCTTGGATTATCGAAAAGGGCTCGACCGGAACAGAGATTCTTGATTCGTCCGCAAAGTGGTGGTTCTCGCAATTGTACTGGGAAAGATGTTGGAGGGTGCCGCAAGAATTGCAACTGTGGCGGATCTTGTGGTTGTTGCAATGGCTGCAATTGTGGCGAAGGGTGTGGTTGTTGCTGTCGACGCACTAAAGTCAGAGTCGAAGTGGATCTCGATCTCTGAACGCGTTTTGCCGCATTTTTTCCCGTGAGTGTCACGAATTTGACACATTCCAGTGGGTTGTATAAAAATTACTCCACGGATGACAATTATGAGATAATCAACCAAGAAGTAACAACTGTTCTCCAATGCATTCACGGACAGCAGGGTTGATATCAAACGCTACTTGATGGTCTGTATAGTTAGATAATAAGAAGATAATTAGAGATAACAAGAAGATAATAAATGATGGAGTCAGTCTTGGATCGTTGTGCCTTCGAAACATTTCCTGACTCTGCTTTTGACATCCATTCAGCGTTTTGGTAAGAAAGGATCGCTCTTATTCAAGAGAAAATTAAGTGCGCATCCACTTCAGCAGCATCTTAAGGATTTGTATAAGGGACAACATGTTTCAATACACACAATCAACTCTTGTTATTCTGAGGTGTAAAGTCAATCGATTGCCAATAATGTTTATCTTCATGTAAATGTGTTGAAGTGACTCAGAGATGAGAAAAAGTTGTACTTGCCATTACTTTAAAAATATTTCTGAAGATACAATTTGAAATTGAGAGCAGTAAGACATTTGATGGAAGAAGAAGGAATGAACCTTTCTTAACAAAGTTTGGATGATTGATGACAATCTTAAACATCAACAATTGCCACAAATTGAAAGTGATAGAAGATGTATGAACACTCATATCCGCAAAATGATGTTAATCTCTTATCAATGAACTGGTTGCAAGTTCAAAGTTCAATACATTCGGGAAAAAAAGTTGATCAAAAAATTTAGAAATCTCTTCCTTCGAATCATTTAACGAATTCTCATTTTCGAGCGTTAAAGGTTCCCTCATCGCTGTCTTCCACAACTTCGTCTGGCTCCATAGAAATTTCACGAATTTGGGAAATGATCGAATTTGGCTGCTCCTCCATAATAATCGGATCTCTGGAGGCGATTAGGTCAACCACGGAGTCCTTATCCATGGGGACGTTTGATTGAGAATCGATAGCACCAGGTTTATCAGATTGCACATTATTAAGTGAAGTTTCATGTTCTGTTAATGAATCTCGCTTGAGAGAGTGCATGGGGGGGAATAACAACATCTTCAGCATTCACTTCCAATGAGACAGGATTCGATTCAAGGAACGTTCCAGCAAGATCCGAAGTACCTTGCATTTGAATTCGATATCGAGGGCTGGGAGGAGGAGATACTCCGACGTCAATTTCAGGACTGGCATCGAGATCGATTGAGAGATGACTGTCGAAATCGAGGGGCACAGCAAGCGGATTCACGGCGGCGGGATCGACGATCGTTGGGACAGAAGGCGCACATTGGACTGTCCCAAATGGGACACACGGCGTTAAAGGACCTTCTACTTGTTCTCTAATTTGGGATAAAAGCGAGTTTGATAGATCAGCATCAGATGCTGGCTGAGCTGCTGGAGTTGTTGTGGGAAGATGACCAGGTGCTGTTGTCCAAAGCGTTTGAGATTTGGATGTCGCTTTCGTTGATTCATAGAAGCCTTCATTTTCTACAGCAACAACTCCTTCGACGGGATGAATGAATGTAACTGATTGGGAGTCCGAGAGAAATGGGACTCCATGCTGAGCATCACGAATATAAAGTTCTTCTAATGCTTGTTTATCTTCCATATTGTTCAACATATGCGCATTCAACTTTCTAACCATTGTATTATGATGAGCAGGTGGGACGGTGACATGTCGATGAAAATCACGTCGACCTTCAGCGATTAGAGGACGAAGTACAGGTTTGGGAATGTAGACGTCAATTGGGATAATCTTGGGATTGAACTGACGAACCTCCACACGAAGAACTTCCCTCCCAGTTTCGCTAATTCGGGGACGATGAGATTGGGACACTATCAATGGGACCTGTTTGTTGTCGTATTTAGGGACTTGAATGTGTCGATCAACAGGAACTTTTTGAATCATTTCAACAATGTCTCCCGGAACTTCAATCTCTTGAACGACTTGCCGAACTTCCTTCTTTTTCACTGTTTTGAGAACCTCCCGTGGGACATCAATCACCTGTATAACAAATCAGTTCAACCACCATCTCATCAATACTTTACCTTCTTGATTGGAACTTTTCTGACAGTTTCCTCGAATCTCGGAACCTGATCAAGAAACAGTAATAAGCAACCATTCAAAACAAGAGTAAAGCGCCCATAAGCAACCCATTCAATCATTCAAGACGATTTATTTTTTACTTCGACGTGTTTATCAACAAAGTGAATTTGCTTCTGGTCTACAACAGTTTCATTGAACGACGCAGGCCCTTGCACAAGACGCTCCACAATTTTCTTTGTAGGAATTTTAGTAATCTTTTCTTCAATGACTTCAGTCTAAACAGGATCACACAATGATGTTATTTCACAAATTGATTTACCTCATTGCGTGATTCATAGTCGGCTGGAATTGTCCCCATGAGTTGCTCCTCAACAATGCGGGAAGTTATAACTCGACTCTCAATCTCCCGTGGCTCTTCAGTAAAGCGTCGCATTGAAATGGGTGTGACGCTACGAGCAGATGTTAGTGTTGATGCTTGTCGTTGTCCTGAATTCAAAGGAGAGCAGCCCCGTGGATCAAAAGGACTGCAAGATCGAGGAGTGAAGGAGGAAAGCTTTTGTTCGGTGGAGAGATGAATTCCAGTTGGATCATTCTGACGAAAAAATGGAAATTGATGATGGGAGTTCGGCTCTTTGGCTGAGGAGTGAGAGACTGAAGGAGGTTGTTGGCGGATTCCCTTTATAGGAGTGCCGGGCATTGAGCTCAAAGAATCCATAGATGTCGAAAAACTCTCGATGAGACCAGGAAATGGTGTGCATGCAAAATCAGGCTTGATAACTCAAAAAAAAACTTTGCAGTCACACGCAGTAGGGAAAAATGTTGTATTTTTGCCACGACACATACTGACTGGGATTTCGAAAGTGGTGTAAGTCGGTTCAAGGATTTGAAGTGTCGGAGATTGAACATTTTTGATGGTGACGGTTCGACTTGAGATTGTAGCCTTGCTGCTCCAATCTGTTTTTCATGGTGAACCTCCCCGTATAAAAGAATTTTATGAATTTAAGAACGACCAAGCATCAAATTTGTGAATATGGTGGGTGGAACAATAAATGAGCGGATTTTTGTTTTTAATTTCAGAGCAAATTGGAGTTTCTGTCCCCCGAAGGCTTCCGATTGGATGGAAGACGATTAAACGAACTTCGTGATTTTCGATGTCGTATTGGAGATTTAAGTGCGATGGCTGATGGTTCTGCAGAAGTTAAAATGGGATGTACACAAGTGATAGCGTATGTCTTCGGACCGTCAGAGGTGGGAGACACCCAGGCTCTTGTTTTTCTTATTTGTTATTTCAGTCCACGAAATACCCTTCGAATCCTGATAAGGCGGAGATCCATTGCGCATTCACACAGGCACCGTTCAGTCGTCCGACCCGAATTGCCAGGCGCTTTGCGGACAGGTAAATCAATCATGATGCTGTAATGCCCACTCCAATCATTTCAGGCCTTCTGTCGCAAAGGCACTCTCTCTTCGACAAATATTCGAATCTGTTGTTCTCGCTGAAAAGCATCCAAAGTCTCACATCTTCATATCGATCTCTGTACTGCAGAGCGATGGGGGGAGCTTTCCAGCGGCAATCAATGCTGCTGCATTAGCGCTGATTGATGCTGGAATACCGTTAAAAGATTTTGTATCTGGTTGCACTGTTGGTGTTATTGGGGCTGGAGAGGTTCTTGTTGGTGAGTTATTTATCGGAAGATGTTAATTTTCTGCTTCTTTCTCAGATTTAAATGAAACAGAAGCGAATGCAGTTGGAGCAGAATTGACGATTGCAGTTCATGGCAGAACGAAAGAGGTGTGAATGCTGTTGTCTTCACTTATTTGTCATTCTATTTATTTTTTACTTTTATCAGATCACGTGCTTTGAATTAGACTCTAGGATTCCAGTTGATGCAGTATATAAAATGGAAAGTACAGGAAAAGAAGCTTGTGAAGAAATTTCAACAATTATGCGAAATGCTGTTATTGATAGATTCACACATTTGGCAGCTAAGACATGAACATTTTGAAGATGACCTTCACTAGAACTCAATTGTTTGTACTGATGTCTAAAAAATACCTGGAATCTGTGCGACTGAGTCAAGTGACTCAGTCGTGCTCTTCAGTCAAGCAGGGTTTTCAGATTTTTATCAGATGCAATAGTTGATTTCGGAGATGCTGTTTTTGTCGCAGAGACCCTTCAATGTGGTCGGGTTGACAACAGCCTTCGTTCTCTCTTCGATCGCTCAGTGGATGTTCCGAGCTCTCACTATTCATGAATTTAGACACGCTGCTTATATAACAAACATGGTAATAATCAAATCGATATCTTCTTCTTCTCATAATCGCTATTTCAGGCTGTTTCACTAATTCTCCTTCCAGTGTTCGGTATTCCACTTCTTTGGTCAAAATGGAGATGTTCTGGATTTCTCCCTGAAATGCGAAGTCGTGTAATTCGTCGCAGTTTTTGTTTCAATTGGATTTTGTAACGCCATCGCTCGAATTGTAAGAGTCCTGTCATCTCCATTGACTTATTTTGAATTTCTAGATGCAAACTTTTAGTTTTTTCGAGACCCCAGTGACTCTACAAACGTCATTAGGGCATATGATTGTTCCCTTCATTCTTGCCTTTGTCATCACTGGGTCTCCAACTCTGCAGCACAAATTTAGTTCAAACGCACTCATTGGTGCTTTATTAATCGTTCTTGTAAGTTTTTAATTTCTGCTTTTCATACCGCCGGGACTTCTTGGAGGGAGATACGAATGCGTCTTGTTCGTCTGTTTTCTATCCACACGATTGTCTAGCAAATCGTCAACTTATCTTCTGCTAATTTCAGGGTTGTTTGGGACATATTTCTGTAGCGTACTTGTCGTGTCCAGCATCAAATGAAGCAGATCAAATTTTCTGGCACGCGATCTTCCTTCTATCTCTGATTCCTCTCGCTCTTTCTTCACTGTCCCAACAACATACTTTTTCAATTCGTCGTCTCAATGTGTTTCATTTCCTTTTTCATGCCACACTGTATCAATTGGTCTTCGAAGTTCTTCTTCTGCCATTAAACTGCATCAAAGGTAATATTTTCAGCATATATTTGTTTGTCATTCTTTTATTTCAGGAATTGATTCATTTCGTTGGTCTCACATGTTAACATCAATCTGGAACTTCGTCTCATGTAAAAATCAAATCTCATACCAAAACGCGTTACGACATTTCAGGCATCGTCGGTTCAGAGCATTCAACAGGAATGTGTCCCCAATCCTTGGGCAACTCGTTACTTTTTATTCGGCTACATTCTCTTCACGGTTGCAGCTCAACTTCTCCAACTATTTCTCGTTCGTTCTGTAAGCCTGCAAATTTTGAATAAGCTTCTTACTTTTCGACAATGTAGTGCGCACCTCTTCAATGTTCCTTCTCTCTCAGGCCTCATTCGAAATCTGTTCGTATGCAATCCTCTCTGTTCCAACATTGACGTTTTTTATCTTTATATCTTTGTCATCGATAATAACATCCTCGATACTTCACTCCACATTCGGCGCGACAGCTGCAACTCGACTTCTTGAGTCCCAGGGATCTTCAGCATTTCCAGTGACAGTCGCTTTCCTTCATCTCATCGTTCTAGCGGGAAGTGCGATGTATAGATTCGATTCAAAGAATAAACTCGTTGAAGATTTCGGTAATTATCGATTATCGGTAGAATAGATCAATGATATTCTATTGTCCTCTTTCTAACGTTTCAATTCTCGTCTTTTTAGTCCTTCCCGCAAACTCCCTCTATCACGAGCATCGCACAATTTTCCAACTTTTTGCCCCTTTTCTCCACGCTTACCCAACAAGTTCCTCTCATCGTCGGATTTCTCCAAGACAGTCCAACTTTGGGACAGACAGCGTGGGACAATCTTCATCATCGCAGCAATCTTCTGATCCAATCAGTAAGCGATTCATCAATCTCTCCTCAATTCATTCCAACATCAGGGAGCGATGTCCCTTCTCAGTCTATATGTCGCATCAACGCAATCACTAATAGAGATGTTGAGGTTCGTTTTCTTCTAATTATTTTATTCTCTCGGTAGTCTTCAGTTCCCCTTCCCTTTTATCTCCCATCCCCAATGCCAAAATATCATCCTCAACCATCATCAGTTCGCCCTGTCCTCATGAATCCCTGGTAAATACATTTACATTCAGCTAATTAGAAATTTCTAGGTACTCAGTCGTTCAATTGTATTTCAAGGTCTGGATGTATTCTATGCGAATACTCTGACTACAAGCGTCTCAATGACTGCGTGGCTCCTCCTTGTTGGAAGTGAGACCGTAGTATCCCTAGTGTCCCAACAGTCCCAACTGTGGTCTCTGTTAACCCGTCAGCCTTTCGCTTCCTTCGGCGCCTGGTGTGAACGATCCATCTGATTACGAACCAAACCCTCTTTCATGCCGCATATGGGAGCAATACACGTTGAGGCATCTTGGAGATCTCAGCTGTACCGAACAAGCCTTGCGAAAATTGGTATGTGATTTGGATGAATCGAAGTAGATTTCTGAGATCTTCAGTACGCATATCAAAGTATTGGGACATTGGCTGCCTCAATCGTTGCTGCTGAAGTCGATCAGCACAATTTAGACAGTCGGTCCTCTTCATCAAAAACGCGTGAGTGACGCGCGAGGACTCTTCAGTAAAACTTCTCTCTTTATTCAGTTGTTGGCGGTGTTGACTGAAGAGGATTCAGATGCGTCCTCCATCTGACTTGAACCTTTTACATGCTAAGACCCTTATTTTTAGGCAACTTGCCTGTCAATCATATTTTGTGAACTATGGATGTTTTGGAAAGTCCTGTAGTCTCGCCACAACCACCGCCTGCACTTCATTTAACACGACGCTCATCGCGCAGGCCTCGCAGTCGCAAGACATCTGAAAGTGAAGTTGAGGTCGAGCCATCCGCATCCAATTCTGAGGAAACATTCATTCATTGGGATGAACTTGCACGATCTCAGACAATGTATTCACCACGATTTGATCATGGCGTTGTTAGAAAGGGAAATAGAATTTATTTGTTTGGGGGAGATACTGGAAAAATGTATTCAACGAGTCAATATTTGGGAGATTTCTTCAAATTCGATCTTGAAGGTGTTGATTGTCGAAATATTCATAATGACGAATCGATACTATGTGATCCTCGTTTATCTTCTTGTCCCAATTGTTATTTTATATTTGTTCAGAACAAAAATGGGTGGGAATTCGGGTGAAAAGCACGGCACCTGCAGCTCGGGCCGGACACGCGATGGTTGCTCATCGAAAACGTATCCATGTTTATGGCGGAGTTGGAGAAGCGGGAAAATTCGACGATTTCTGGTACGTCATGATCATTTTTTGTTTTGGTCATTTTTTTTTGGTTCAGGTCGTATGATCCAGATTTGAATGTTTGGGGACGTAGAGCTCTTGGTGGGGACATCACACCCCCTGCTCGTAGTCATCACACATCGTTGCTTCATAAGAATGCAATGATCGTTTATGGAGGAAGTGCTTATGAAGGAAATGGAGTTGTTTGGAGTCTTGATATGTCAAGCAAGATTTGGAGAGTTGTTTGTGGGGGGGGATGGAATATTTGGGGAAAATCGAGCTTCTTTCAGCAAATTAATCACGATTGAACAGAAAGACGCATTCAAACAAAAAGGTGAGAAATTAATGATTTGAGTGGATCAGCCTTGATTGATTCCGCAGTTACAAATGGTGAAGAATTGCCTCGCTGCCGTGCATTGCATACAGCTGCTATCTTTGAGGACTGTTTGTACGTTTTTGGTGGCGTTATGATTGACAGCATCGCTACACCAGATGAACTTACTGATGAACTTTGGTGTTTCGACTTGAATACGATGGCGTGGACAAATCTCACTCCCGATCTTCCGAACCGAACAAATTGGCCACGAAAGAGAGCCAGGTGTGTGTCTTTCCTGTTTCATCGAAGTTTCACTCTCTTTGAATTTTAGTCACGCTTCTGTTGTTATTGGAAATCAATGGATCATTCATGGAGGACGCACGCATCAACCGTGTCCCTCCACTCCTTTCAGCACTTCAGAATTCAAACAAAAATCCGAGATTGTATTCGAATCCCATCCAACTCCAAGTCTTTCTTCCCTTGGATCCCAAATTCCTCTAGGGGATGTCTGGGCTTTCAACTTTTCCACAAAGACTTGGGAATGTCTTTCTAACCGATCAAAAACTCCATCAACTGAATTGCCCGGAAATTTACTTGATCATTTCACACTAGCATCTCGTTGGGGTCACGATTTAGTTGTTTGCAGAAATACAAAGGACTCCAAGGGACATCCAGGTAAAAGCCAGCGCAGCGTTTTTGTGACGGGAGGAGTGACCTTGGCGCCATTGCCATTGTACTGAACATTTTGCGTCCAACCGAGGGCTGCAAGACTCCAGCTCTTTCAAACTGGACCCTGTGATTTTTGGTGTTAATATAATGAGATTCGATCGTTAAACAATTTTTTTGAGATTTCTGTGGTTTCCTGCTGCCCTAGGAGGTCCGCTACCGCTGTTATGGTTGGATCCTTTTCAGGATCTCTCACCCGTTCCACAGAAGATGACAACTCTCCTCAATACAGTGATAGAGAATCACTTACAATCACTGGGGTGGATTCAGATTTTTCTCGATATCTGTCTAGTCATCACAATGCAATACTAATTGGTGTTGATGGTGGATGGTATGATGTAACATCATTCCGTCATCGTCATCCAGGCGGCGCGGCGCTTCTTGAAAAATCTCATGGGCGCGATGTCACTGAAATAGTCACATCATTTCATGAGGGAAACGTATTGAAGGGGTGGAGACCTGTTGGGTTCTATAGCCGTCCGATTGAAGTGATGAAAGATCCTGCAGCTAAAGCTTTCAGGGATCTTCATAAGGAATTTTCAGATAAGGGCTATTTTAAGACGTCAATGGAATGGTATAGAAGAAAATTTCTCGTTACATTTTCGTTTCTATTTCTCTCAATCGGAATCATTGTCTGGTCAAAGCACCTTAGTCTGTGGAAAACTGCGATAAGCGGCTTGTTTCTGGGATTATTTTGGCAGCAAGCGGGGTTTTTGATGCACGATTTAATGTAAGACTCTCTTATCTTCAATATCTTCAATTTCCTCAATTTCGTAGGCACAATGAAATGACCCACAATCGCTTCATCGATCAACTCTGTGGAATTGTTTTTGGATCCTTTTTCACTGGAATCAGTTCCTCATGGTGGAGAGATGAACACTTCGAGCATCATGCATTCACAAATGTTGCAGATGATGAAGGCAATTCATGGGACGTTCAAATGCAAGAAGATCTCTGGGCTCAAAGTCCACTTCTCTTTCCCCAGTATAGGAATCGTGGACATTGGGTCATCGATAAAATCCAAACGTTTCTCATCAGACATCAACACATCTTTTTTATCCCACTTTGTATGTTATTCGGTCGTTTCGCCATCTGCATCAACTCAGTCTTCATTGAAAGACGTTGGTATGAGCTGCTCGCGCTGTCTCTGCATAATATTGTATTGGGATTTTTCATGGTCACTTATCTCCCCAATTGGAAATATTGTCTTTTATATTGGTATGTGGCGGCAGTCTATGAGGGTGTTCTTCACGTCCAATTACTGCTAAGCCATTATGGGAAGCCATGGACCTTGGAGAAGGATTTAATGGTCACTACTGATTGGTACCGAGCGCAAATTTTGAGTAATCTCGATATCAAGACTCCCATTTGGATGGATTGGTTTCATGGCGGTCTCAATTTTCATCAGGTCCATCATCTCTATCCCAGAATGCCACGGCATAGATTCAGAGAAGCAACAAAGCGTGTGCGTGAAGTTTGCGAAGATGTTGGTTTAAAGTTAGACGAGTGTTCGTTCACTGAAGCATTATGGCGAACTTTAACGCATTTGAAGAAAATGGGTCGTCAATACAGCGATTCCATTAAAAGCTATTAGTGGGTTCCTCCCATCAGAAATTGACGTTACAATATTAATTCACGTCGATGACTAGTACCATAGTATATTTATTAGTTCATCAGCTAGTTCCTCACTTTTTATGAGGTCAATAAAAATGTCTATGTTGATTTTTTATTATCGTCTCTAGATCTGTCTTCTAATAATTCTGTTATTCTCATTGAGGTGCAGAATTTCCTCCCAAACTCTTCATTGTTAGGAAAGCGCTTCAATGATGCAGGAACACGTTTCAGAATTCCTTGGAGTTCATCCGTCTTTGTCAAACATTGATACAACCCCTCAGCAAAACCATCAGCAGATTTGCAAAGATATCCAAATGTGCTCTGAAGGCAATTTGAATCTCCACTTCCACTTCTGCGTGGAGTTTCAATAATGATTAACTCTTCATCTGAATGTGTAACAGGCAAACGTTCAGGAGAGAGCGGATTCGTCGATACTAAAGGAGAGATATTCAGGATATCCATTCTTGGGCCTGCTGAATTGTGCGCAACAACAAGAAGGCCGGCTGCTAGAAACTCAACCAAAGCAATCCCGAAATGCTCATCTACCATCGTATGAAGCCCGATCTGCAAACAGGATTTCACTCATTGAATCACAAGATCGTCTCGCACCTTCGATGATCCGAGAAGCTCTTTAATTTCACTAAAACTGAGATTCACTTCAAAGCGAACATGATGTCCCAATCCTAATTCACATGAACGCAATTTTAATTGATGCAGAATTAATTCATCATCTGAATGGCGCACAGCTCCGCACATCACGAGCTCAAGATCTTTGGGAATTGATGGGCCTGAGACGCGAGACTTGAACAGTTGCAACAAACGGCCCATCGCTTCTAGCTGAAGAAGATGATTTTTCTCAGGACGAAATTGAGCGACAGAGACGATTCGACAGGCCCGAGATCCTGAAGGGCAAAAATAAAAACCGGAGAGAATTTAAAAATTTCCAAAACTTGCGATTTACCGAACGGTTTTGAGGATTCAGCAAACGCCTTGATGTCACAGGGAGGATAAATGATGGTTAGTTGGTTCAAAGGAAGACGGTGACACTTTTGCAGAAAATGTAGCGGATTGAGGAAACAATTGAAGGAAGACGAAGATTCTGATGATGATGATGATGATGTCATCAATTCCGCGATATGCGAGTAGGTCCACGACGAATTGACCGCACATGAATCCAAAAAACCGCCGCATAATCCGTAAATCCGAGCGAAGAGGCGATAATAGGAAAGTTTGAGAAAACTCAGAATTGACGAATTTGCAATACGAGAAGCATTATTGAACTTTGCCTCACGATTCTGAACAACTTGGATCATATTTGTGGATATTGTGGGGTAATGAATGTAGCTGGTCACCCTGCATCCTCCTAATAATCGAGCGACACCAAATGTAAACGCAAATCCGGTGGTTTCGATAAAAACAGAAGGAACGTATCGAATTAATGCCTCTAATGCGACAATCGTCGACCCTAATGCTTGTAGAAATAAAGTGAAGCGAGGATATGTCGATGGATCGAGGAGTTGAACTGATCTCAAAGGAATGAACCTCAGGGAAGGGCGGCCATTCTGTGGAATCAAATTGATACCAAAACGATCCTTCACCTTCAAAAGAACGTCATTAGAATTGTGGGCAACATCAGGGGACGCGTAGATAACAATCTCATTGATCTTGCCAACAGAAAATTCTGGTTCATTTATTGAAAGCCCCTCCGATGTTGTACTGCTTTCCAACAACGCCTTCACGATGCACCACAGAACTCGTTCGCCACCGCCTAAACCATCACATTGAGGATGAAAAAATCCGAGAGTCCTTGGATGTTTAAATTTTCGGAACCATACTCTACAAAGAAATACTGCAAAAATCCAAAAAAAGAAGCTTAACAGCATGAAAGGAAACATATGGACCTTCCCAAAAGGGACCCTGTGGCCTAGAATGTCGTCTGTTTTAGTCTGTTCGACAAGAAGCTCCAGCCACAGCGGCTGCCTTGTTTATAACGATTTATGGCTGTGCTGCAATGTGCGTGTTTTATTGTTTGTGTGGGGTTTGAGTCTGATATTCATTGAATGCTTAAATGTGCCTAGTCACGATCTGCGATTAATTTTTGAAGAATATAAATGCGATGTTGGGATGGGTAGACAATGAGCTTCGACGGGGTGGTGGATGTCTCTATGTCTGGAAGTGATTCTAATGGTTCCGCTGAGGAGCAGCTCAACGATCCACCACGAGCCATCCGTGCTATTGATCTCGAATCAGGTGTGAAATTGTTAGAAATAAGCAATAGATTTTGTTTCTGCAGCTGATCTCTGGAACCCTCAAGAGTTGAGATATCTTGCTCTACTTGAAAATGAAGCCTTTCGAAGTGCTTCTGAAATTGATTCAATTGAGGCTGCAAGGAAAGCCTCCTTTCTGTCGGTTCAGAAACCTGTTATAGGCCACGAGAAGCCGATCAAAGCAGACGTTTATCTGTCAATCGACGGAGGGGTTTGTCCAACTTGCCGTCGTCAGATTTCTCAGTCCGAATTTCGAGACTGTTCGAGCGTTATTGGATGTCCAGAATGTCGTCGATATTTTCATGCAGATTGCGTTGGAGATGCGAAGCGTTATCCTTGGTACTGCGAGTGTTGTTATTATGATTGCGGGATCTGTTAGTGAGTGGAGATCATTATTCATTAGTTTTTTACATTTGTCCTTCTAGTGCGTGCTGTAAAGTTGATGGGTTCTTGGAGCTATCTCGCTGCGTCCATCCTTTATGCGCTCGTCGATATCATGATAAATGTATCAATGATGTCGGGGGTTTTTTTGAGGTGAATGTTCCGGCCAGTCACGCCACTTCAGCTAATCGGATCTCGTTTCAAATTTTGGGAAGATTGCTGGGTCCAAGACCTCCACCTGAAAATTTCAAGACGAATCGCTTTTTCCTGTGCCCTTCTCATTTTTGTTCAAAATGTTCGATGAAGCAAACGGTAATTTTGAATAGAAATCACTCCAATGAGATTTCTTGATTTAGCGGGATGCTCATTCCTCCACGATTCCTGATATGCGAACAACTCTCTCTAATCCGTTGCTACTCGTCTATTGCATCGCCTGCCATCGAGCCTTCCATCAATCATGTCTCCATCCTGCGACCTTCTTGTTGCATTCACCGAAAGATTTTCACGATTCGAGGTCCGAAGATCTCCATCGAGCTGTCGAGGAAGTAATGAAGATGGGCGGAATCCATCCAGGCGAGTCCCAAATTCCTCAACCTTCCCCAGTTCGTTTCTTATCTTACTGCTTATGTGAAGTGAGTCCTTGAAAGCAGATCTATCTGCAGCTATTTTAGATCCATTTTTCTCCAATTTCAGAAACATGATCCAAATGCGTATCCAGAAATCATTGAAGGGGGGACGACGAAGGAGAAATCTGACTGGAAGAGATTCGAGCGCGCGCACTTCGACTCAAGATGTCGATGGCAACCTGGTAATGGAGGAAAAATTCTACCTCATGAAAAATCGTCTGTTTTGGCGCACGAGGGATTCGATGTGATCCCGTCCATCTTGACGCAGCAGCGACATCAGGAAGAGTCCCAAACAGACAATAAACTGTTGGGAGAGATGGGAAAGCAATCTCTTGGTGGAATCTTTGGGTTTGAAGGAGTTCCAAAAAGCGTGAAAGTTGTTATTCCGAAACCCTCAACCAAGGAAACTGAAGAGACATTCAATGATTTTCCCTCATTGCGATTTTATTGGATTAAGAAAAATGTGAGCAACGTTCAGCGTTCTAGGAGTAGGATACGCGATGAGATTGAGACGTGTCAAGTATGTTGTGAGGGACACTTCTCGTGTTGCTATTGTTTCTCCCCTCAGTGTCGCGACGAATGCATTCAATCTTCGTGCACGAATGCTCAAACGTTTATTGAGTGCGACTCGTAAGTCGTAGCGCTGCATCCGGTAAAAGATACACTCCTGATAGGAAACGGTGCGGACTCCCAAAGCCCGTCAGAAACGCTTCTGCCATAATCGATGCTTTACTCGTGGGACGCAGCCGCTACTGGAGGTAAACGGGATTGATGAGGAATGACGAACGATGTTTTCTATGCAGTTTGCGATTTTTGGGTGATCCAATAGGGTGGGGTGTGTTCGCTCAAGTTGATATTCTTCCTCGGTGCTTCATTGCCGAATATGTTGGAGAATTGATTAGCAAGACTGAAGAAAAAGCACGACTAGAAGTGCAAAATCAATTAATAGGGACTGGATTAAGTCGATGGGGGGAAGAGAAGAATAGAAAGAAGTCATAGAGAACATCAACGGAAAAAACGCAGAGTATCGACACCTGCGGAAAATCCTCGTTTACCAATGATTCCTACATTGATTACAGATGCACAGGAATCTCTATTGTCGAGCGATGAAGTTCAACCATCAGAAACGGCAGAGATTCCGACTCTTTCATCTGATCTGTTCTTGTCGGAAACAGTTCCGTCGGACAATTTGATGGTTCCGTCTATACGTTCATCCCCACCGGTTAAGCGTCATTGGTATCTGATGGATGTTGAGGGGCGGCATCGTGATTGATAGCGAGTTCTATGGAAATATTTCTCGTTCATTAATCATTCATGCGAACCAAATTGTGTTGCAGAAAAAGTGGAAAGTAGGGAAAGACAGCCGGTAAGAGAAGAAAGTGGAGATATTATGAATGGAATATTTCATCAGAGTGGGAATTTTCGCAGCGAGATCAATCAAGGCTGGGGAACAAATTACATATGATTATAGGTAAGATCAAATTAAAATAGATCGTCATCTGTCTCTATCCAGTTCCTCATCTTCGAGAAGTGGATTTGCGTGCCCTTTGCGGTTCTTCAAAATGTCGCAAAAAAAGTCGGAATTTCTCGAAGAGTTCAAGCGCTTCGAACGATTGAATCCGCAGCAGAGAGAGAAGTCTCGGAGACAGCATTTGTCACTGGAGATTTGATTGAAGCTCTACAAAATCAAGATGTCAAAGAAGTCGATGGATTGGTGCAGTTTCGTGCATTACGCAAAGTGATGACAACTGCGACAGTTCCGGCATTTCTACATCATCAAAGGTCCACGGAACATGGCGGATGTCGCTTGCCATTCCGTATTCGCAGATGAAATTGCCCCAATCGCTCTGACTGCTGCGTTATTTGTTCCATCTGTTGGGACATTGGGTCGATGGAATGAGATGATACTCAAACGACCAGTCGTTTTAACGCAAAGGCCTTGGTGTTTACTCGCACTCGATTGCGGTAGTGAAGATCTTCTTGTGGTATGAGTGTCGTGATTCTTCATCAGATCTCTACTGGATTTCAGGGCGAACGTGAGAAATTGTTTTTAGTCAGAAGTCACCGACGCTGCAGAATGAATTTAGATAGTTTAATTTCATCCCGATTTTTCCACATGATTCGTGATCAAGGAAAACATTCAATGTGGAGATTAATCAACGAGGGATTGGGAGGTGATGGAGTGAGGCGAGGTGATTTAATGCTTCTTAAAATATATTGTTTCTTACAGAGTTGTTCGAGTTGTGGACTAGTTGGGGAATTGACAGTTTGCGAGATTTTGTTGCCGTGGATTCCACAAGCGTTGTTCGGCATTCAAACCAGTGGAATTGTTTTCCTCTGATGGAATTTTTCCAAGTCTATTTGAGAATATCATCAGAGTCCCAAACGTTCCAACAGTTGTGAAGAGGACAGAAGTGTGTAATGAATGTCGACTCAACACGCCAGAAGCGCGGTAAGCAAGCACGTTGTTCTATTCGCATTGAATTCGTTTTCAAAGGAACGTTCGCAAACGACGACATCAATGGCATTATCAACTGACGGCTGAAGACAAACAAGCGAGATTTGTTTTGATGAAAAGACGTTTATGGGATACAATGAAACGAAAATATTCGTGTTAGCGACTTTTTAAACTTGGTCGTACCTAAAGACTCACAGGTCGTGCAGGTTCATCTCGTCTATTAAATTCTCAAAATATCCTAATTTTACAATCTTACACTATGGAAGAGTTTGTCGGTGTCCTTGATCCCCTTGATCGTCTTTATGAAATGCAGAGATTTTATCCACAATTCGCGAGGGACCAGTTGAAGGCGGAAGGATCATGGACTCTTAATCGAATCAAGGATACTTGGATGAAGATTTATCCGTTTAGTTGAAAGCCATGGAAAATTTATGCACCTGATGCGTTTGATGTAAGATAGCTTCATATTGGAAGATATTTGTTGTCTGTAGGGTTCAAGTGGATGATTCATTGATCCCATCATTCGAAGAAAAACGTCGAATTGGATTGCGACTCTGGAAATTGGTAACTTGAAGCTGTTAACGATTCTTCTATCTTTTGGTTTCTTAGTATCAGCATCCCAGCGTTCAAGGGTTCAAGAAAACAAGGATAGCAGATGCAATGTCTGGATTCTTGAGCTCAATTTTGGTGACACATGTTCCGCTTGTATGGCTGAAGACTGAAAGTCGGTCGTGCCATTCTGATGAGGAGACGCTTTTAAATTTTGGGAAAGAATTGGATTGGAGGGTTTTGTTTCAAGAGATTGAGGAACGGTATCGCCGGGATTATAGAGATTCAGTCGAAACAAGTATGACAATTATGATATATTGATGCTCCAAAACTTCTTCCATTATTCAGGTTGTGCGAGAAGAAAAGCGAGATTGGCCTCAATTGTCTGTCTTGCATCGGCAGCTAGGGCGTTTTTGGGACAGTCGGTCTGTCGGAAGGGAGTTGGAATCTATCTTCGGAATGGACATGCCTGACGCGATATCTGCGAGCATCTTCTACAAGATTCGTGTGATGATGCTGTTTTGTAATCACGAATATTGGCACGAATGTGTTTCAAATGGAAAGCTATGGAAATGGTATGAATTGCTTCAACTTGATAAATCTCTATTCGAATC